ACTACGACATCCTACAGGTGTTCGACCAGATGAGGCACCCCTTGCCCTTGTGTCGCTTGCCAAGGTCTTTATTTGGGCCCTACTTATGCGCTCGCCGAATCAGATTAGCCGCCCTTTCCCCTCCATCGCTGCCCCTCCACCACTCGCCAGCGGGGATATTCTTAGACACAGCCGCATCAGGGAACACAGTGGGATATTCTCAAACAGGCGCTTCCGCTATAGTCCCCCTTCCTTGTTCGAGGGACGAACCGCTCACGGTTTGTGCTTCGGCCATTCACAGGCCCAATTTGGGCCTGCCCTGGTCCCTTTTCATGGCGCTTGGAGCCACGACCCAGTGAACAGCCTCCTCTTCGCCTAGTCGCACATGCCGTTCTCGGTAGATGAAGATCGATCCGGCGATTACAGAAACATGTCCTGGTTTCAAAACAATTCTCCGAGTGGCCTACTGGTCTTTGTCGTGGATGGAGGCTCTGTATGCGGCTCACTGTATAAAGATGTTGGCCATGCCCCCTTGATAGAGCCTCAGACAATACAGACCCAAAGGTACGAACAGCAGTTGTTTCATTTCTACTCGCAAGGATATCTCCTACCTGTCGTTCCTCATCCGTCACTCTCGTTCGCCTACGCCAACACTCCCCTAATCATAATACGCTACTCGGTCGCTTCCATTGCTCTCATCTTCCTCCTCGCCGCGTCTTTCCTATCTCCATTCTCGTCATCACTTTCTTGTCCTACTAGTCTTTTCATTCAACTGGTCAACATGCCTAAGATTGAAAAGGGCCCGGCGCACCGCCTTTCCGTGTCGACCGCATCGGCCGCAGGCGGAACTCGCAGTTCCTCTTGGTCCGCTAGAGATGATGAGACGCTCATTCAGGCCAGGGCTCAAGGCCTCAACTGGAACCAGATTGGACCGAAGCACTTCCCTTCCAAGACCCCAAATGCCTGTCGCAAACGGCACGAACGGTTGATGGAGAGGCAAAATGCGGAGCAGTGGGACGGCGTGAAGCTGGACGTACTAGCGCAAGCCTATATGGAAGTTCGAAGGGACATGTGGAGCATGTTGGCTGCCCGAGTTGGAGAGAAATGGCAATTGGTAGAGACAAAGGTATGTCATGCGTGATTTCGTACTCTTTGAAGCACCTGGTGTTGACTCTACTCAGTGCATGGAGAAGGGTCTCAAGAACCTCACTCAGGCCTTTAGGTCGGCACAAAAGAAGCTCGAGAATGGTACCTACCACGACCATGAAGATAGTGGCGTAGGCATTTCTGACCTGGAAGAAGAACAAGAGGATCCCCATGTGGAAATGCATAGCATGTCTACGATTCCCGAAAATCATTACTCCGCATACCCAAGCTACCCGTTACATCAACACCAACATCAGCAACGGGTACCGAGCATCCAGTCTATGCTGCAGCCAATGCCACAACACCAACATCACATGCAACAGCCGATGCAACAACAAATGCAACAGCAAATGCAACCACCGATGCAGCAGACTATGCAGCAGCCCATGCAATACGCTTCGCATCACCTCCCACATCAGCAATAATATCGCAGTGTCATTGCCAGCCGGCTGACTCCCTCTCAATGTCTCATATCTGTTTTACATCTCGTTGTCACGATCGCTACGAACTCTCAGCTTACCTTAAAAGCGGCAAGCAGTCTCTTTTTGTCCCAATACCCCCCATTGAAGACAGTCGATACCACGGGCAACCTCTCTGGTGGCTTTCTCAGGCACGCATCACCTCGATGATGGATTATAGCCAGTCGTACTGGCAGTCACCTTATACCCCTTGAACCTACGACATTCGCACGGAGGACTGTAATCAGGAAGGAGGAACCGGACATTCATTCCCATCTGGACCGGGTATGCGAGGAAGGCTTAATGGGCGTTTTTCATTTTCGAAGTTTCCAGTACATGCTTTTCATGGTAACACTTGGGCATGGAGAGGGCCCTTATCGATGATGTAGCCATATATTTCTTGTCAATGTTACATTTTTTCATCCCTTTATTCCACGTCGCGGCCATGGTTCGCAATGGCTGTCATACTGTCACACATCCGGAGCAAGTCCGATCCGTTACTGTACATATCTCACTCTACTAGCAATCACAGAGACTCGGCTGCATCGATTTTGTAATCGCCCACGAGTCATGACAGTAGCCCTCATCGAGCGCTTCATTCTCAAGTTTGAGCCGTTGTTGTGACAGCTACAGCACAGCCCCCCACATGCACTCAGCCTCACACTGCACCTATATTCTACCCCACTCCGCAAACTCCCAATACAAACTCGCAGCACCTTGCAGCCCCCAAATATACGCATTCCTGCAGCGGCACGATAGCTATCCGTCGGCTTACCACGCGACAAACTCGTGCGCACGCGCGGGCTAGCAATCCATCTCGGGCCCCGGACCTCGATGGTGCCGCGCTAAAAACGTATCATGACATAACCACCGTTTTGGCCGCACGCGCGCTTGCTGGCCCCCAATCCGCCCTTTGGCTTCTGCGAAGGTGGACGCGAGAAATTACAATGTTTGAGCGTGTGCGATTGCGCGATGCCCCGAGCCCCTCTGCTTCGCGTTCCCTATACCGATCCCCTCCCGGCACCTAAGCTGATTCCTGCGAGCGCGACGACGGCGAGCGGTGCCATCGCAGCTTTGGTCGACTTCTTGTCGCCGTCCCTGTCCACGTCTGGTGCGCCTTCGAGGGCGGCGCAATCGAGCCTCTCGACTCGGCTTGGTCGGGGCGAGCATGCGGGCAAGACGCTGCTGCTTACGGGGGCAGGTATCTCGGTAGCGTCTGGCTTGGCCGATTACAGAGGCACAAATGGCACCTACACACTGAACAAGACGTACCGGCCCGTCTACTTTCACGAGTTCTGTGACAGCCACGAAGCGAGGAAGAGGTATTGGGCGAGGAGTTTCCTCGGCTGGACGAACCTAGAGAAGGCCAAGCCAAACAAGGCCCACGAGGCTTGTGGCGAGTTGGGGCGTATGGGTGTTGTTGGAAGTATCATCACGCAGAGTATGTTCTCCCTGGCAAACGTCACAGCATGCTAACGAGTTGAGCAGACGTAGACTCGTTCCACCCAACGGCGCACCCAGACCTCTCCACCATCGAGCTACACGGCTACCTGCGCAACCTCGTCTGCCTCACCTGTCGCAACGAATATTCGCGCCGGGCTTTCCAGAGCCAACTCACCACCCTGAACCCCTCCTGGGCCGCTTTCCTCGCCGAGATGATCGAATCGGGCGCCCTAGACACCGAGAACCCCGACGAGCGCCGCAAGAAAGGGCTCAAGTCGAACCCAGATGGTGACGTCGACGTGCCCAACGCCCCGTACACCACATTCCGATACCCTCCGTGTCCGACGTGCTTGGAGAAGCCGCCAAAGCGCGCAGACGGAGGCAAAATCCACGTACAAGTCGACAAGGATGGCGCCTGGGACCCGGCGAGCGAAGGCGGAGTGCTGAAGCCTGCTGTCATCATGTTCGGCGAGTCTATACCCGCTGCCACAAAAGTCGCTGCGGAAGAGGCAGTCGATGCAGCAGGCAGGATACTCGTCATTGGAAGTAGTCTTGCGACGTACTCTGCCTGGCGGCTAGTGAAGAAAGCAAAGGACATGCAGATGCCGATTGGGATACTCAACATGGGTGGTGTCCGGGGCGAGGAAACCTTCTTTGGAAACGTCGCGGACACCAATACTGGCCGGGAAGCTGCGCGCTTAAGTGAGAATGCGGAGAAGGTTCTACCCCAGGTTGTGAGGATACTGCAGGAGATGAAAGAGACGAAGTAGAACATGTACGAAAGATGACGAAGTCAACACTGGCTCGGCAAGATACCATTGAGTCAATACGGTAATCAAGTTTGCCGTGAAGGCCGCCAAGCTAGCTAAACGATGCGCAGCATTCTAGGTATAACTTCCCATCCAACTCCAACGTTGCGTAAATGTGATATCATGTGATGAAGCAATTCATCCACCCGATGCGCGCCTGTACTGCGCGTGGGAAGAAGTCAACCGGACACCCAACCCAAACCCAAAGAAACCTTACGCAACACATTCACTATCCATTCCCTCTCCCCTTTCCTCCCCATCAATGTCCTCAACAACCATCGTAAACCTGTCTTCCTTAAGCTTCATTCCCGGCGCCATGACCTCCCCCTTCTCTCTCTTCTGTATCAGCGTTCCCAAGTCTCTGCCTGGAATCGCCCTCAGATCCTCACTACAGCTACGGCAAATCCGCAACTGACACCACGTACACGCCCACTTCCTATCTTTGTCGTTCTCATGGCACACCATGCAGCCCATGGGCTGGAAAATATTGTTAGACCAGATGTTGTGGCAATGTCTTGTGTAGCAGGAGAGTTGTGCGGGCGTGATACGTGGAATGTAAGACACGGGCAAAGGGATTGGTCGGCGGGTTAGGGGCTCGAAGGGAGGCGGTGTGGGTGGCGTTGTGGGCTCTGTGCGCAAGCCGTCAACGGGCGATGTTGGAACGGAAGGTCCTGGGAAGGGGGAGAGGTTGTAATCTTGGAGGTCGGATGATGTTGGGCGGGATGATGGGGCACTTGTGGGTCGTTGGAAGCCCGGGGATGGTTCGGGTGGGTCTAGTGATGTGGTGCGCATGGGTAGTCGGGTCTCAGCTGGTGGAGTGGTGCTTTGAAGTGGTAATTCCGACATTGCGAGGTATTCTTCCTGCTCTGTTGACTTTTGCTGGGTCTCAGTGGTGGCAACAGCAGGTTCGAAGCTAAAAGGCCGCCTCTCATCTTTCGGTGGTGGCAGTGGGGTAACCGGAGAGATCTCAGCATCCTTCTTTGCTAGGACTGGCTTCAACGTCGGGGAAGGTGTCATCTCAGGCGTAATGGTGTGCAATTCCATCGTGGGGATTGGAGGAGCCGGCCTCATTGCCTACGAGATCTCAGTCAACATACAGTATTCTTCTTTTGGAACAGGATCCAGGTACCCTTGAGTTTGCGAACATTGCAACGCAGTACGACAACTATCGTACAAGTACTGGGGAGGGAAAAGGGAGGCAAATATATACCTTCAAGACATTGAAGCCTGTGCTGCTTTTGCCGCGGAAGTGAAGGGGCGATGCCGGGGCTTTGATACGAGGGTTTGAGGGAAGACCCGTGAAGACTTTCTTAGGTGGTACAGGGACCCTGGTGTCTTGTTCTTCCTCTGGTGTCGGTGGGAGCTCTGCTTCCGTCTTTCGTAGCTTTTCGGCGGGCTGAGGTGTGGCAGCCTCGGGCATGTTTGCTTGACTGTCGACACTGCCTTTCCTTGAGACAGCATCTGATCGCTGGCTATCAACGCTCAAGTTTCTGGGCGCTGATGTGGGGGGCATTGGAGCGCCCTTCCTTCCTCGCGGTCCGTTATTCAGTTCTGCCAGACTTTTGAACTTCTTGAGACCTTGGTCTGGTACTGCTTTGCGCCCAATAACCGATGATGTGGTTGTAGTAGACGTCTCCGTAGAGTCTCTGCTTTCGCCTTGGGAAAGAAGCGAATCGTTTCTCGCGAGATCCGTCGCTGGCCTTGACGATTGGCTTCCCGTATTAGACTGCTTAATCGACTTCCGCCTCTCGGACTTTGCAGGTGGTGGAGGTGGAAGATCTTTCTCCTCTATTGCTGAAGAAGGGAGAGACTCTGATCGTGCTGGAAATGCTGGGGTAGAGGGCACAGTCGCTGTTGAACCGTTGCTGATGGTAAGCTTGAGAGATGCTGGCTTAGATTCGCGAGAAAGGCTACGTGACTCGATCCTCCTCCTTGGTCGAGGTGGGGAGCCTGGCACCGGACTCCTTGGGAGAACAGGTGCGTCTTGGTCATCTGTTCTCTGTTAGCACTATTCGCTCAGGTTTATGATATGATGGCTTTGTCCATGCGGCTCTCTGAGCGACGACAAAGCAACGATGATGTATCACCACGCATACAGCACATTGGCATGCGGAATCGAGGTTGCAATATGACACACAGTCTGTACCAGCGAGCTCTTGATGAATAACCAAATATGGATGCAATCTTTATAATAGAATTTGTGTGATCTCTGCTTACCTCTCAGCTGAAACTTTGCTTCCATTCTCAACGCAGCTGGAAGCGGTTTACGTGCGACGCTATCTGATCGTGACGGCGGCGCAGGAAGCTTTTTGTCCGCAGGTACGGGCGACCACGTTGAAGGAGATGCGTCGCCTCGGCCAAAAGAGTTGCCATAGTCGTTAAGTAGTGCGCTGACAATGTCTTGTCTGGATGCAGGCGCAGATAACATGCTTTGTTGAGCCATGACGTCGGCCATCGTAGGGTCGAGATATGGAATGTCGTGTATTAGTCCAAGTGGAGGTAGCGGTCAAGGAACGGTGTCGGATGTATGAAAAGTATTCGAGGAGACGTCGATAATGAATGTGTCTAAGGAGCGTGGTGGCAACAAAGAGAGTGACTATGCCGTGAAGCAAGATGAAGAGACAGGCCAGCCCGATTAATATCGACTTTGTCAATTAGTACAAGTCATGGGGGAATGAGAGGAGTGGAAGGGACACGCATAGCAAACCCTCGCGGCGAAGCTGGTCGTCTCAGGTACAAGAAAGTGCATGGGACACGGCTGGCAGAAGACTGGTCGGGCCTTTCAAACGCATGAAGTGTTTGACATAAGAGCCAGGAAGAGGCTGGCCTGGCACAGCTGACGACCAACGGCTGCGCGGATCATCCATGCAAGGATGGAGGGCGTTGGAGATGACAGGACAGTCCACAGCTCCACCGCGGCGCGGGAAACCAACGTTGTTCTGCTGAATTGGTCCACGGGGTATGCCGGCCGACCTGGCAATTCCTTACCACAGCCGGTCTTGACATGGACGCAATCAAGTCCATAGCGCAAATCAAGTGCATGTTATCGACGTTGTACAAAAGGTCCGACAACGGGAAGCTGAAGCACAACGTTGATGTGTAACGTCCCAGGCGACCGCTTTCTGTCAAATCACGGCACCCCGCAAGGCTGATCACCACGTGACGAGGGTCCGCCACGTTTCAGGCTTGTTCGGAGGAGATCGAGAAGACATGCCGAGCAGGTGATCAGACCCACAGCCGGACATGCGCTGACATATGACGCTTTCAGATCCACATATCGTCCTTGTCCGCCTTACATGGAGTCACCATATCCATCGCGCGCTATGCTGTAATTTCCTTTTCTTCGGAAACAAGTGCGTCGGCCGAAACGAAATGACAGCGACGGGGACAGGGTATAGGCAAATCGTCAGCGGGAGCGGACCCAAGGGCGCGATCGTGACGGATAGATTACCTGGTTATGTGGCATCGGTGACCAAGAATCCCAGGCTCATGGGTTGCGCCATGGCCCTTCATATTACACCGACAGACTCACAGCCAATCACTAATCAAGCCCTCGATACTGGTATTCGTGAAACGAGTTCAAAAAACTGCTTTGTGCGTAGCTGACTTTTGATCATTCGATCACTGTGCAATGGTTATTGGTGTACAGAAAAGACGCCTCACTCATGGCGAACTGTGTACACGTCCAAGTGTCTCGTCGTGCCTCGACAGGCCCGATCGCGGCGAAAGCCAACGTTATTGGCCAGAGGACCCCATGACTATCCCGCCAGGTTTGCAACAATCCAAGACGGCCAAAAAAGAATCCCCCCAAGCGCCGTCGCTAATGACCTGTCGATCCTGATATCAATAATGAATAAGGTAAAGTATTTACAAGTATGGAATGTATAGGGTATCGCTCCATCACTGGAAGAAGTAAAGTAAAAACATTAAGATCAAGCTTATCGTGGGTGTGATTGTGGTGGTCGTCGTCGTCGATGCAGCCCCTTTGAGTGGGGCGGCTGTGACGTTGACAAACGTCGAGCCGCATGCTATTGATATTTGCTGAGCGGCCGATGTATATGTTTTTGAAAGAGGTTGTGTGGCGTTGTTGCTGTAAGTAGCAAATACACCCATTGCTTGTTGCAAACACGAGTTGCAGGTTGGCCTTGATCCGCCGGGAAGTTCTTGGCCAATGGGTAGGTAGTATGGGTAGGCATCTCCCGGTGATGACATGTTGCTGACGGCGTTCGCAAAGCAATAATTTCCCTCGTCATCATGCAAACAGCTTGCTTGGTAAGACGGTTGGTATGCAACGAGGCCATTGTAAGCCTGTAGCACCAGGGGATTGTCGGTGTCGTAATCGGCCTTGCATGCCATTTCCGATAGCAGCTCCACTGCGAAACTATCCAGGGTAGGTTTGCATTGTGCTGCATTTACTCCACATGTTGCATCGAGAGTCTGTGTGATGCGTAGTGTAGATTTGGAGGCGTCGAAGAAACCGCTTGACGTCTACATGGTACTGATTAGCCACTCTTCTCTCTCGTATTATTGAAGTACCATACCTGCAATAGCAAGGAGAATGGGTGGCAGTCATTGAATGCCTGACTCTGACGCAGGCGATTAAGGAAGTTTGCGCATGAGTTGGTGAAATTATTTGATAGGCCAGTATCGAATGCCGTGGGGACTTTGAATCCGGTGCCAGAGCCATCAGAGTCTGTTGTAATGGCGCGTTCCGAAAGAGTTGCAGAGGGTGTGCGGGTAACATCGTCGTCGCGTTTTAGAGGAGGCATCAATCGCGACGCGGTGGGTGGTGGGCTGAGATCCAGGTACAACGCCGATCCTGTCCAGGCAAGGTCGTCTTCGACGAGCAGGGCCGGTCGATCACCATAGGCTTCCGTTGCGGATACGGGGGCAGCCTGGGAACTGCAGGATAGAGATATGACGAGCAGCAGAAGCAGCGCGCGAAACTGACGGCCGATGCGTGGTGACACTCGAAGATATAAGGGGACACCGCGGCAGCGGTTTTCGTGTTGCCTCCTCCGCGTTGGCAGGGGAGCATGGTGCGACAGGATCGCTACCGACTCGCATTCGAAACATTGAGAACCCATCTCCAATAAACGGTACTATAGCAGTCGAGGATGCTATTATTAACCGCAGAATCTCCTCGGAATCCGGAGGCCCATGGCCGTACGTAGGTACCGTTGCTGTGACCAGGGGGTTTGCCGCCACTGTCAATGACTGCCTAGGTACTTTGTCCAACCTCAGATTCGGGTACCTTGCAGTGGTTCAGCAAGTGTCCGAGGGCTTTTTGCGGGCCGTCAGGGGTAGGGTAACGGTGGTGACTAGGAAAAGGCAAAGAGTGACGGCCAGCTGGGGGGACTTGCTTATCAATGTCGATCGCAGCCAGAAGAACGGCACGAACAGCCTTTCGTCGATTTATTTAGCAGCCAGAACGTGTCCAAGCATGAGGAGCGGCCGGCCCTTATGATGATTGCCATGCAAGCAGCGAATCCTTCAAGCCACCGGCGCCCATGCCTGGCCTGCGAGCAGCTAACAAGCCACGACGGCCCCGTGCAAGCAAAACTCGTTTCTTCGGCTGATGACTGGCACGCGATGCGGGTAATAGAAGCTTTCGACCGAATCACGGTCTGTGAGCGCAATGACTATGATAGGCTGGATATGCACTGGTTTGTACAATGCAATAAAACGCAGCCAAATCGAGCGACGTTCTGGCCAGAAAAAACGGGACGCGATTGTCTCTGGCGGCGCGGTCCCCAACGCCTTCGCCAAAGGCTGCCCCCTGCGCGGCAACAAGGCTCACACTACAGCGCCAGAATGCAGCCGCTACAGGGCATGTCGCGAGGGGCAGCGCTGTCAACGTAACTTTCCGGCAAGCGTTGGAAGTTGCGTTGCCCCTCCGTGGCGCGGATGATGATGTAGATTGTGTTGTCCTGTTGAACATGGAGGTGGACTCGTTGCGCAGTGCGTTAGTGCCGGAGGTATAGCCTGGAAGTCGCTGCAACTGTCTCGCCGTCACGGCACCCAACACTCTAAACAGTGTCGCCAAGCCAATAAGCCACTGCGAGCCACGCCCCTATCGGCTCCGTTCCTTAACATCTTTCGTGTCTCGGTCAGCTACAGAGCGTGAGTCGATGTCCACATTGGACCACACGCCCGCTCGCTGGCCTCATTCAGCGCGCGTGGCCGGTCGTCTTCTCACGTCCCGACGTTTGAGGGCAGGTGTGTAGGACTAGCGAAGAACTTGTCCGTTACCCAGCAACCTTCCTGTCCAGCGTCCTGTGCCTTTACCAAGACTGCTCAATATCGTCTTGTCAGCAAACCAACATCGATGGCTATGTTGGCAAGCGGCGCACGTATATGATACCGAGAACAATCTGTTTGCACCCTACAAGTGACCCCGCCCCCCTATGCACTTACCTATTCCGTAGGCATACGCCGCATGGAGTGACTACCTGTTCCTTGCCGTTCTCAAATGTCAGCTTTCGGCCACTGTCAAGCGGCAGTGTTAGTGCTCACGTTCCGGCTCTCCACATTATCAAACGCGTATAGCACACCGCTGTGTGTAATCGCCATATTTCAACATGAAGATTTCTAGGCCGATACACATTTGGGTCTGAGTTGCACATGAGACCTAGCCAACGACTTGAATGCACGGCGATCGCATCGGAGATCATGCCAGAGTCTCGGAAAGGACGGTGCGTCAAGATCTAGAATCAAGCCATGGCCAATCCATTGAGCCTAAACTACCTCGTTCATAGCGAGCATGATATATACCGATCGCTCGGCATCTGCAGGCTTTGGACGGACATGAGGAACCGTTCGGATGATTCACAGATGTGAACTTGTGGAGACGAAAGAGGTCATTTTACTTGCCTTGGGTACGAGTACTTGCTCACAACGTAGCTGCAGCATGCTAGATTGAAGTACACTGATACTCTTGCGGATGCGCGCCATGTACCTGGACAACCTTCGAGCACATAGAGTGCCCAGAAAAGATCTCACGGCAGTTCATGCATCTTCTCTCATCAGGTGCAACATGTCACTACTACAACGAGAGTATATGATTACAGGCAAATTTTGTACGAGCACGTATATATCATGCA